GCAAACGAGTCTAGGAAGAATAGAAGTAATGTAAATAAAATTAATCATAAGTTTAATTTATCAGGCTATTATCAAAATGTTAGAAGTCTAAATAATAAATTAAATAATCTTATTTGTAATATTTCATGTGAAAACTTAGATTTTTTTATTTTAACCGAAACTTGGCTAAAATCCGAAGTATTAGATTCAGAATTAAATTTTCATAACTACAATATATTTAGATGTGATAGAAGTGAACTAACTAGTAAGAGTAGTCGCGGAGGAGGTGTAATGATTTGTGTTAACATTAAATATAACAGCGAACTCATTGTGATTCCCTATGATACTGTTGAACAAATATTTGTATGATTACCTTTAATAACACTCATAAGCTTATCATTGGTGCATGTTATATACCAGAGACTAACCTACCATCAGTTTATGAAACACATGCAGGTACAATAAACTGGTTATTTTCAAGTTTTGGAGATAATATTGATTATAATTTACGTGGCACAACATTTTCTTGCAACAACGTTGGCTTAGTTGTGGATGGGCGTCAGTCCGAAATAGTTGATATTATTTATGATTGTTTCTCTATACATAACTTGTCTCAGTGTAATTCAATATTTAACCCATATGGCAATATTCTAGATTTAATTTTTACAAATTTAAATTTATTAACTGTTGATGTTTGCTTAAATCCACTAGTTGCAGTAGATAAACCACACCCCCCTCTAAATATAATGTGCGAGTTTTCTAGTTTTAATAATTTATCAACTCCAATGAAAGTGTATCGGAATTTCAATAATATCAATTTTGATAAAATCTCATTAAGTCTTAATAACATTGACTGGTATCAATTATTTTCTAGTGGTGATGTAAATAGTGCGGTTAATGACTTTTATTCCGTTATTAATGAAATTTTTAATGAATATATTCCTATTTTTAAACAATCTAAACGTAAGTTTCCATCTTGGTTTGATAAAAATTTACGTTCATTAGTAAAAGAAAAGCGTGTAGCTCATTCTGAATATAAAAATAATCTAAGTTCAACTTCCTACATGAAATTTTCTAATTTGCGTGCAAAATGTAAATACTTTTCTAAGCGTTGCCGTGAACAATACCTACTTAATTTACAAAATAATTTTACTGTTAATCCCAAATCTTTTTGGAAGTATATAAATAATAAACGAACAAATAATGTATTGCCCTCTAGCATGGTTTATAATGATAAAGAATTTAACAATAACATTGATATAAGTAATGCTTTTGCTGATTATTTTTCTTCGGTATATGTTAAACCACAATCTAATAGCACATATAATCTTAATTTAGGCTCGGAATCACTTTTAAATGTTTCTGATCTACATATCACCTTAACTGAAGTGTTTGAAGGCCTTAGTAGTTTAAGTATAGATAAAACAAGTAGCCCTGATCAATTGCCCCCAATAATTTTGTTTAAATGTCGGTATGCTTTAGCTCGTCCATTATACATGCTATTCAATCAGTCTCTCTCTCAGGGCATATTCCCTGATATTTGGAAGTCCAGTTATGTATTACCTATTTTTTAAATCTGAAAATAAGAAGCTAGTAAATAATTACCGCCCTATATCCAAACTGTGTACTGTATCTAAACTTTTTGAAAAACTAATAGAATCTAAATTGTCTAATTTATTCAACAACTTTTTAATTGATGAACAACACGGTTTTCGGTTTCAAAAATCGACCTGTACTAATTTATTAGTGTATTACAATGAAATCCTAAGTATTGTTGAAAAAAGGAAACAAGTTGATGCTATCTATACTGATCTTAGAAAAGCATTTGATTCTGTTGACCATCAGCTTTTAATAAATAAACTTAGTGTTATTGGTATCAATGGCTCATTGCTTCAATGGTTTAAATCCTACCTTTCAGATAGAACCCAACAGGTAACCTTATCAAATATTGTATCTTACTCTTTTGTTGCAACTTCGGGAGTTCCTCAAGGTGGACATTTATCTCCATGGCTTTTTTTGTTATTCATTAATGATGTAAAAAATGTATTTAAATATTGTAAATTTTCATTATTCGCTGATGATCTTAAAATGTATATAGAAGTTGAATCAATGCAAGATTGTGTTAAACTACAAAAAGATCTTACTAGCTTTTCTAGTTGGTGTATCAATAATAGATTAAAAATTAACATTAATAAATGCGCTGCTATATCTTTTACAAGAAGTAAAAATCACTTAATTTATAATTATTCATTAGATAATCATTTAATTAAAGTAGTTTCCACCATCAAAGATTTAGGTATAATTTTTTCCACTGATCTTTCATTTAATGATCATGTATCCTATATTTATTCAAAGGCTATGAGACTCATTGGATTTGTAAAACGACAGTGCTGGGACTTTAAAAACATACTATGTTTAAAAACATTATATTGTTCACTTATTCGTTCAGGTATTGAATATGGTTCAATAATTTGGAACCCCTACCAAATTTGCAATATTCGTAAATTAGAAAATTTACAACTTCATTTTTTAAAATTTGTAATATTTAAGTTGAGGTTAAACATTTCAGTTGATGATCTACAATCTAAACTGAATTTACAATCTCTCGAATCGAGACGAAAATTTAATGATGTTTCCTTCATATATAAGTTATTAAACAATAAAATAAATTGTCCTGAAATTCTTGGAAAAATAAATTGGTATGTTCCTACTATCAATACACGCTCTGCGACTACCTTTTATGAGTCATTTCACTCTCAATTGTATAGCTATAATGAACCCATAAGTCGAATGATAAGAGAAAGTAACAAAATTTCATTTTATTTTAACTTTGATAATGAATCTAGTCTTCGGTCTATGTATTTGTATAATAGTTAATATTTATAAATTTATGCCATCTATATGCCAAAATTTATAGCATTATGTATTATTATTATTATTATAAATTTGTGAATACTTTATGTTAAATAATTTGTACACTCTATTGCCCGATAAGGGCGTCAATAAATAAATAAATTAAATAAAAATAAATTAAATTAATTTAGGCGATTAAAAAAAAAAAAATAATAATTTCATTTGAGTAACTCTTTTCTCCTAATGTAAAAGTCACAGGAATGAATTATGCTCACATTAGTTTACCGAACCTGAACTATATTAATCACTTGTATATTCATGGACATTTTGTTCTTACGCAATCTGATAGAGAAAAAAGGGACCACCGAGATTTTTACTTCGTTAACCCGCTTGCACTGCACCTAACCCAAGGTCCTTCAGGACCTTTAATTTATTTTTCTTTTTTGCTCATAAATTTTTTTAAGAAAAACTCTATCGTATTAGCGTAAATATTTTACTTATTGTTTTGTGGCTGACATATAGTTTATAGTTGTTTTATCATAGCATCTAGAAGTTCCTACACCTATCATTTAATGTAGGCCCATATATTTACGAGGGACCCACTGAGATTTTCTCGGTAGTTCGTCTAGCCTATCAGTTCACGTATACTTACCATTCCATATGTTTCTCTCCATTTTTGATTTTTATGCTTAGTGAACAATGTTTACTGAACGTACTTGAACTTAAATAAACACAATATTTAATAACTCATCGTTCGTAATTTACAACTATAAAAAAATGATTATAATAACTGTAGGAACAAAAAAAAAAAAAAGAACAAAATATATTTTATTTTTATTTTTTTGTAATGGTCAATGTTTATTTTTTAACTTTTTTTTTTTTTGAAAGATCATACTTTATAATATTTTCTTTTATATACGGTGGATCAATAATGTCAATTTTTAACAATCGCTTACTGTACTGTGGATCTATAATTTCTCTCAGTAAACAATCTTCATAAAATCTAAAACATAATTTATTATCTTTTTTTTTTAATTCAAACATTTTTATCACTTTTATTGGATTTTATTATACAAATATATAAGTATGAATATTATTACGTATTTTCAACATACGTACAAAGTTAGAAAAGATTCTATTTTTGTACTCCAAAACTGGTCGTCGCGTTAAACTATTTGTAAGTAAGTCCATTTTGGAGTGTAAACATAAAAAAAACATTTTTGACGATCAGTTATGTGTAGTTGTCCCTGTATTTGAAAATAATACTGATGGTCTTTTTTGAGTTGGTAATTTTCCTTTTTACTAACTATGTAAGATATCTTATCAAAAGTAAAATTAAAAATATTAAAATACATCATATCTATAATATGTTATTGGAGGGTCCGTAATATACCATTATAATTAGTTCTAATTTTTAAAATATTAACTAAATAATGTAAAATGATTGCTTACAAACCTTTTTTGATAAAATTGCTTCCTCGAGAGTATTGCAATCTCTTACCGCAAAAGGACATTTAATTTCAACTATACTATTTGTTTCTACTAGTCTATCTAAATAATTCAAACATACATCATTTTTTGATAAATAGTTTGTAATTTTTTATTTGTGTTTATTTAAATAATATATCATATTGTTTAGCTTTATTATATCAAAAATATACCTGGAGTTGCAGCTAAGTATGGAATTATTTTATCAATAAATAAACCACATTTTTCAATTTTTTTATTTATTATTTTTTCTAGTGAATTAATTGCAATATCTTCCATTTGTTTTCCATATTCCATAGAAGACGAAGTCGAACTACCATACAAAATATCATGAATTGTAGATTTGCAAGAAGTGCGAGGGCGCATTTTGTAAATTTTACAGAAATTTGATGCGGTTAGTCTATTTCGCCTCTCAACAAACCATCTTTGATTATTAGCTTGTCTAGTTTCGCGTTCCAATAAATCTTTATCATTTTGTGATAAGGTTAAATTCTGAATAAATTCGTCTTTCTTTATTTTTATTTCAGTTTCAGGTAACATATCGACTAAAGGCTCGGCCAAACCGTAAAATTCATCGGGTCCCTGACTTAAACTTTTTTTATTTCTGTAAGTTCCAGATGATTTAAACAATGCTCGATATATAAACAACTTTATTAATATAAATAAAAATACAGCNACGTTTAGTTAAATTTAATCTTTTACATGATGTATATTTTAAAAAAATTTTTCCTGCAATTCCTAAAAATAAAAAACAATATAACATTATGTATGATAGTTATGATTCATAACTTATGAAAGAAAAACTTACCGGGGCTGTTATTTGTAATTTGTTTATGCATCACGTGTAAAAAGTTCCCACCCGAGTTAAATGAAATTACTGCTGCATTTACTCGCATGTTATAAGACTGTTTTTGCGTAAAGGTTATTCTTTTTCCTGCAATATGCTTGTTTATTATACTGTTTAGCTGTTGACAATAATTATTATCGACATCAAGAATCAAACTTTTAGCATTATCTGTTACTCGAGGTAAGACTATTTTAATTTCATTAATCCACATTTCGTTACATCAACCACTAAATTATTTTTAATTAACTTAGGACCTGAGCAAAAATAACTTTGACACTTAGTATGTTCACCAAAAATATGATAAGGTCCATTTAGAATATCATTTCGCAAACCTATAATAATAAAGATGAAACAGTATGATTACTACTAAAGTAGGGGTTTAATGTAAAAAAATAATATAATATTAAAATAATCATAACTATATATTTTAAAATTTAAAAACATAACTTGTAATTGTGAAAAAAGTTTTACTTTGGATAAAATTTATATTGCGATTTTCAATATTACACAGTTTTTGAAAAGGACTTTATTTTAGTAAGATCGTATTTTTTCTAATGGGGCCTATGTAAGCGGCGGATGTGATAGTAATGCTGTAACAAAACATATTGTATACGCTGTATGTTTAGCTACTATTTCGTTAATGTACACTGTACATTACTAAATCTGAGAATCTTTTTTTATAGTCATTTTTGCCCCCTCCCCCTGAAAAGTCATTTATAACCAATATTGATGATTAAAGTACAATATGAAATTATCAGATATTTTTGTATTAAATACCTTCAATTTTATCGTATAATGTTTCTTCGACATTTTTTCGATATTTTATTGCTTTTGTCACTGCCGTCCGAAATTTCATAATATTTTTTGAAATAAACTTTCTTAAGTAACACGGGTACTCTTTTTTTTTTGTAAGACTCATAAGCTTTTGACCATAATTACGAAGCAAGTGATTCTGGCATTCCACTTTTTCAACTAATAACATAGGACCATATGGCATTACTTCTGATAATTTTTTGGTGACGCTACTATCACCATCACCTAAAGTACAAAATATTTTACGAAATTTAATTTCAAGCTGAGGTAAAATCAGTGTACTTACCAATGAGTTTATTATATTTCAAATCATGCATCTGAACACTTGCTAAAAATCCTTCAACAATAGCATCGGCTTCAATACTCGTTGCTCCTTTGGACCAATTTAAAAAACATTCATGTACTTTGGGATTTTTATCCATTGTTTTAGCTCTTTCACAAATCACACAATAACGGTTACGAATCCCTACGAATAGTATTTTTTTTGTTCTATATCCAATAATTGTAGCCTGTTATAAAGTACATACATTTACAACTGACGATAAATCTACAAAAATTAATTTATCAATTACCGCTCCTGACAAAGCATCGTACTTTGTTTTGTAACTTCTTTTACTCCACTGACCGTCAGCTATAACAGGACACATTGGTGTGCCATCTACATCAACATCACCCAACTCAAATGCCAATCTTTTCTCTTCAATACCAGCTAAGCTCATAGCGTCCCAGCAACTGTCTTTTACATCTTTACTCAACAAATTATTATACTTACAATACGTACTTGGTGACATACATAAAATGTCCATTGCTGCAGTAAGTTCAGAGAGTTGGGTAAACCCAATTCCAGCAGCTACCGTTGCGTTAACAGCAGCTTTGTTTAAAAGGATTATCCCAGAGTTGTTATGCTTTTCTGACATAATAGTAATTTTTGAATTACACATTTTACATCGAAAGGTCCAACTACTTGTAAAACCTTTAGTAGATTCATTTAAAAATTCTACGTTCATAAAATTACAGCCAAGATCAGCGACATGATCACCAGAATTTTGGATTTGACTGAATACATGACTCATGTCTACTATTTATTTATTTATTTATTTATTTATTTGAATAAACGCCTGGTAGGCTCAAGTACAAGTTAAATATTTTTACATACTAAGGAATACACAAATAGTTGTGAAATAAATAATTAGAGATAATATAAAATCAATAATACAAAAATACACACATAAAATTTATATAATTTCGATAGATTAACAGTTTAAGTAATGACGTCTTAAGTTTGATAAACTATCAAAAAAGAAATCAAAGTTTGATGTATTACCTGATGTTAAAATTCTATTTAGCGGATTATTTTTACCATAGTTTGTGCGGTGTAATTTAACATTAAAAGTAAGGCATGATCGTGTATTATATTGAGGTACGTTAAATGTTATACGATCTAGAAGAGGAGGGCAGGAGATGATACCATTAATAAGTTTAAATAAAAAGGATGTGTCTAGCATATTACGACGTGTTAAAAGAGGATCAAGCTTTAGGTTAAACTGTAAACTTTGCATTGAAGTATTATCAATATTATGTGTTAAATTTCGTTTAAAACCTATAAAACGAATAAATTTTCTTTGTACTCTTTCAAGCTGTTGTATATGAGATGACGTGGTAGGATTCCATATAATGGACCCATATTCTAAAGTAGGACGTACAAGTGTACTAAAAAGAACCTTAAGGCAGTGTATATCATCAAATGATTTAGTACATCTGCACAGAAATCCCAGAGTTTTTATAGCCTTAAGACTAATTTGGTTGATATGAGTAGAAAATTGGAGGTTTGTCTGAAACGTGATGCCTAAATCCTTTATGACATCATATTCAGGCAAAGTATTATTATCAATAATGTAATTAAATTCAATTTTTGATTTATTTCTGAGGAATGACACTTTAGAGCATTTCATTACATTTATGTTTAGGCAATTTTTTTTACACCACATGGAGAGTCTATTTAAATCTTCTTGTAGTAGATAACAATCCTCTATACAAGATATAGTATAATATAATTTTAGATCATCAGCAAAAAGTTGATATTTACAGAATTTAAAACAAATATCCACATCAAATAAGTATATTAAAAATAACCAAGGGGACAGGTGCCCTCCTTGGGGTACACCTGATGTGACACAAATTTTAGAAGAAAGATGACCTTTTACCATTACTTGTTGAGATCGATTTATTAAATATGAATGAAACCAATGAATTAGACTACCTGAAATACCAATCAAATTAAGTTTGTGTATGAGGAGTTCATGATTCACTGAATCAAATGCCTTTTGAATATCAGTATATAGTACATCAACTTGAAGACCATTTTCAATGGGCTCTAAAATATCTGAGTAAAAACAGAGAAGATTTGTTTCTATTGATAGGCCAGATCTAAATCCATGTTGGTGGGCTGATAATATATTTTTAAATGATCGTGATATTGTTGGCTCAAGTAATTTTTCAAATAATTTTGGGAGGGATGAGAGTTTAGAAATAGGTCTATAATTTATTACGGAATCCTTTAGTCCCGCTTTAAAGATTGGAGTAATAAAACTATGTTTCCAATGGGACGGAAATTCACCACTAGATAGTGACCAATTAAAAATAAGAGTTATTGGAATTGACAAGGCACATTTACAAGATTTTAATAAGATTTCAGGAATGCCATCAGGACCTGGGTTTGGTTTTGGACTTAGGTTTTCTAATCCTGAATATATATCTGATACACATAACTGTAATTGAGGGATATCAATCAAATCAGGGGTGGAAATGTGATAATTATTTTTATCAATTTGAGTGGTTGAGTAGACTGAACTAAAGAATTCACTAAATAAATTAGCTATATCGGGACCATTGTTCATCCTAATATTATTGTATTCCATTTCAGATGGAATACTATTATCTTTCTTTTGACTTTTTATGTAGTTCCAGAATAATTTTGGGTTATGAGTAAAGTTTGATTGTAGGTTTTTTATGTATAATGAGTAATTAGATTTGGATTCACGTTTACATAAGGCGCGTAATCTTGAGAATTCATAATAATACTCAATAATATTAGTTTGTTTATATAATTTATGGTTCAATTTTTTCTCATGTATTAATTTTTTTAGTTTACTACTATACCATTTAGGAAAAGTGTGTGTATTTTCACTAAATTTAGGTACAAATTTATTGATTGCATCGTATAATAATTTATAAAAAGTGTCGATGGCTGAAGATAGATTAGGTTCATTTAAGAGAATATTATTCCAGTGTAATGAGCATAAATAAGCATTCATTGCAACATAGTTACCCCGTAAGAAATTAAAAACAGAATTTTTGTATTTAAGGATTTTTTTTTTATTAATAGTTGGACCATTTATTTGGAAAGGTGGGTGAGCTAGATCAATAGGTACAATAGGAAACTTATATTCTAGGACACTAAGGTCACATCTGTTGGATAAAACTAGATCTAATATATTTTGGTGAGAGTTTTTTATAGGATTATGCTGATGTAACTGAATTAATGCCACTGACTCCTGAATTATGTCAGTTTTACTATTTTTTAAACCATTAATGTGAGAATATGCACTAGAATTGTCCCACGAGATACCGGGTAAATTAAAATCTCCAGCTATTATAAGAATGCTGTCTGGATACTGAATGCTTAAGTTTTCAAGTTCAGAACAGTATTTTTGGAAATGATCAATAGAACTATTTGGAGGAATATAACATGAATGGATTATGATATTTATATTATTGACATTGATCATTACTGATAGTTGTTCACAGTCTATGGCTGAGGAAGGAAGAAATCTAGAGGAATATTTTTTATGAATTGCTATTAGGACACCACCGCCTCTACTATGCATGCTATTACAAGTATTACGGTCTAATCTAAATATATTATAGTCTATCAAACCAAGTTCAGCGTCATTTACATCAGAATCAAGCCAGGTTTCTGTTAGTATTATATAATCAAAATGGTTTAAACTGGGCATATTTAAATTTACATTTATTAATTTAGTTTTTAGACCACGTACATTTTGGTAATAACCACATAATATATTACAATTTAAGTTCCTAAAATAATTATTCTTATTTTTATGTATACTTGAGCTGTTTAATAGTTTTTTTTTACTAATGTTGGCGATCCGTTAACGAATTTTATGAACCAGGTACTATCTGCTGAATTTGAATTTCTATAATCGCGTTCTTTTTTCAATGAAGATAAAATTTCTCTTTGATACGAAGTGAGGTCTGTAGTTATCCATATATTTTTCCATTCAGGCAGTGTAAGCAACAATCTCTTAGTTTTAAGGACTGATTTTACCGCCTCGGTAGATTCAAGCTCAACACGTATTGGTCTAGATTTATTAGTTTGGTTACCAATTCTATTTATGGAAGAGGGACGAATTTGTAGATTTAACTTGATTAATAAGTCTTCGACTAATGTTTTATCATTATTAGTCGAAACCGGTGCATTGAAAATTATAATATTTTTAGATTTAGATTCTCTTTCTTTAGTTTCCCGAATAATATCTATTGGTAATTTGAATTGGTGAGAAGAGGAATTATTGTTTAGTAAGGAATTTGACCGAAGAGTGTCTAATTCTTTTCTAAGTTCTATATTTTCATTTTTAAGTAATAGTATATCAGCTGCAAGAGATTCAGTTTTTTCAAGTATTCTTTCAGAGGTTTTTTCTTGAGTGAAAAGTTTTGATTTAATTAATTGAATTTCTGAATGTAAACTTTTGAGAGAGCTCATTACATCGTTAATTGAGTAATCGCCTATAATTTTAGTTTTTGAGTCAGACGGTACAAGAGTTTTATTAGATGGAGACTTTGGCATGGTAAGAATTTGTAAAAGTTATAATAATTTTAATTAACGGAATTCAAATGTATGTTACAACACAATTATATATTTGTTCAATATAATTTTGTTCGTAAAATAAGCTAAACTGTTAAACTCACAGAATAATCTTGACGGATGTAATATGCTTTTGATAGAGGTTAAAAATACAAAATAATAACAATAGATCGATACACTTTGTCATACGAAAGATATCAGGTACGCGATAATCTAACAACTGTTATTACGTAATCACAAACTTGATTAGAGAGCAAGACGGTGTCGTACAACGTCCACTCCGTATAACGGTCTGTACTGTACTGTTACTATTCGCCGTCCTTTATTATATAACAACGTAGAGTCACTAAATGCACCAAATTAATATTTTTTCTTTAGCTGAATAATTATAACATCAAAGCAAAAATACGTTTTTTAACTTACCAACGTTCTATTTCATAATTGTCTATTATATTTATTAGTTCCTCAGAACTAGATGATATTATTTTCAAATAATTATTTTCCAGTAAACTCGAACTAAAAGGTACATTCGTTAGTGAGATATCAATGATATAAAAATATTTGGAAATTTAGTCTTATAATTAATTTAATATGAGACGCATAGGCGGACATTGGGGGGGCTTAGGGGGGCTTAGCCCCCCTGAAATTTTAGAAGCCCTCTTAAAAATTCTTTCTAAATTATCCACAATTCTGTTTACAAAATATTAAATTTTATTGTTTTTTTTTTATAAAAATATGTCTGATGTGGAATTGTGGTTACATTTTACTATCTGTTAAATTTAATAGTAGTTTACTAGTAATATTTGTTTAATAATGATATTGTGTTTAGTACTGAATAAAATAATACCTAATTTATAATAATGTGATGGTCATAAAATATACTATAAATTATAAATGTTATTTTCGCTGTTCTGTCGTATGTGGTAACACAAAGAGCCAAAAACTACAGTCATGGGATCGGGAAACCCAGCGTTAAGCCGATACGCGTGTATAGATTAAAGTTTATATATATGTATATTTATAACACGTGACCTCTAGTATATTATGGAGTTATTAATAGTTATTATTTCACGATATCAGTGATACAGTGTTTGTATTTACACACCTAGCTATTCATTTGTAAGATTCCAGTCCTTTTCAACGCGTTTTGATATTCATTAATAATAATTACCAGTAGTTTTTTTTCATTTTTTATTTGTT